CACCCAGGAATAGGCCACGAATCAAAGTTCAGAACAAATTCAGCCCCTTAGCAAATGAGGAACCACGCCTCGAGGAGACCGAAATTCAAGCCTCGCCTGTCAAGCATTCGTCACCTGATACTGTTGGCCGGCCTAATGAAGTAACCGCCAGCACAGGGAGCATTTCCGCCGACAACGAACACGACCTAATGCGCGTCCAGGGCAAGATAAATGGACGTCGCGTTACCATGCTACTGGATTCTGGGTCAACCCACGACTTCATTTCAACTGACCTTGTCAAGAAGCACAACATCTCCACAACAACCGGTAGCGACGTCCTGAACGTCACACTTGCTGATGGATCGGTCCGCTCACAGCCTATTACGAAAACGGACAGCTTGAAGACCGTAGTCGGCGACTTTAGCGAGCACCAACAGTTCCTAGTATTCCCTATGACGCGGTATGACGTGATCCTCGGCAAACCATGGCTGACCCGGACGAACCCACAGATCAATTTTCGTACCAATGAAATCAAGCTGGAGAGTGGATCCATCATCTGTCAACCGAGTGAAAGTGATGGCACGGACAAATCCAACCCACCGATCGAGACGTTCCTCATCTCAGGGAAGCAGGCTAGGCATGCAATGAGAGGTGGCGCAGAAGGAATCCTAGCGTATGTGACAGCAGATCCGGACGAGCCACAGACGGTGGATAGTCCGGGTAGGGAGGATCAGAAGGATTTCAAGGACCTGCTGAAGGAGTTCGGGGACGTCTTTCCCGATGAGCTTCCAAACAAGCTGCCACCCAGAAGAGGCGCAGATCACGAGATAAAAACGGAAGAAGGAGCTAAACCGCCATCTCGTGCAGCATATCGTTTACCAAAACCAGAGATGGATGAGCTTCAAGCTCAGCTCACCGAGCTGCTCCGTAGAGGATTCATCCAGCCCAGCAAATCCCCATACGGAGCCCCTGTGTTCTTCGTAAAGAAAGCGGATGGAACACTTCGAATGGTATGCGACTGGCGTGAGCTAAACCGCATAACCATTAAGAACAAGGCATGCCTACCGAATATTGACGACCTCTTTGATACCGTCCAAGGCAGTGCGTATTTCACCAAGCTAGATCTGAGGTCCGGTTACAATCAGATTCGAATAGAAGAAACAGATATTCCGAAGACAGCAATAAATACCCCATTTGGTCACTTTCAGTTCACAGTGATGGGTTTCGGCCTAACAAATGCCCCGGCAACATTCCAAACCTTGATGAACAGTGTCCTCCAGCCATACCTGCGTAAATTCGTTGTGGTGTTTCTAGACGATATCCTCATATTCAGCAAATCATGGGAGGAGCACCTCGATCATGTCAGAACCATCTTAAACGCCCTCAGGAGGAATGAGCTATATTGCAAACCGTCTAAATGTGAATTCGGCCGGACAGACGTTCTGTTTCTTGGGCACCGGATAGACGGCCAATGCATTTCTCCAGATCCAGAGAAGATCAAGGCCGTGCATAACTGGCCTGTCCCGACGACGGTCACGCACGTAAGACAGTTTCTGGGATTCGCTAATTACTTTCGAAGGTTCATTAACCATTTCTCGGCCATCTCCAAACCCCTGGAGGAACTGACAGGGAAACATGTGCGCTTCGAGTGGAATCAGACTCGACAGGAGGCATTTGAGCGATTGAAGTCTGCTCTGCTGGATGCACCAGTGTTGCGACTAGCAAACGTCAGTCAGGATTTCCGCGTTGAGACTGACGCAAGTGACTTTGCTGTGGCAGGAGTCTTAACGCAGCAAGCAGAGGACCAGTCCTGGCATCCTGTGGCTTACGTGAGCCGAAAGCTGTCTTCTGCCGAACGGAATTACACGGCCGCCGAGCGAGAAACTTTGGCTGTAGTGTACGCCCTGCAGTGCTGGCGAGTCTACCTATTTCGCCACTTTCAACTCTACACCGACAACATGGGAGTTGTCTACCTCAGGACCAAACCAAACTTAACCAAGAGAGAGGCTCGATGGATTGAATTCCTGGCCGACTATGACTACACGGTACATCACAAGCCAGGGAAGTGTAACATAGCAGACCCGTTGTCACGTCGACCAGACTTGGAACTGAATGGAATCGAGTTCTCTCTGGATGTGAATCAAGGAATTGCGAATCAGATCTCAGCAGGGTATGATAGTGACCCAGAGCTTTCGCCAGTAATCAAGCGCTTGATGGCTTGCAGCGAAGACGCCATGCATGAGCGATACGTCTGGAACAGTGTGGACCGGCGGCTGTACCTAGTAACATCGGGCGATGCTCGCCTCTGCATTCCTCGCGGTCCGGTACGGCTGCAACTGCTCAAACAGAATCATGATTGCCTGACGGCCAGCCATCCGGGGAGAGACAGGACCTACCTGAAGCTGAGCAGATACTTCTCTTGGCCAGGCATGAGAAGTACTGTGAAGGACTTCGTTAAATCTTGCGACCGGTGCCAACGCGTAAAGGGTAGCCAGACCAAGGCAGGACTGTTGCAGTCCCTTCCAGTCCCCGAACAGCCCTGGGCAGACATCAGCATGGATTTCATCATGGCACTGCCGCTGACCTGCCGAGGACATAGCGCCATTCTAACCTTTGTGGACCGTCTGACGAAGTATGTGCACCTGATCCCGACGACTGTTCATGTTGACTCTAAGGAGGCAGCCCGATTGTACGTGGATCATGTGTTTGCTGCCCATGGCTTGAGCAAAACGATAGTTTGTGATCGAGATCCGCGATTCACGTCGGCGTTCTTCAAGGAGGTTTTCAGTATTCTTGGCGTGGAGCTAAAAATGAGCACGGCCAACCACCCGCAGACCGATAACATGACTGAGCGTGTGAACCGTGTCATTGAGGATACGCTAAGAGCTTTCGTCAACCATAGGCAAAACAATTGGGATGAACTCCTATCGCTATGTGAGTTTGCGATCAACAATGCCGATCAAGCGTCAACAGGTAACACGCCATTTTTCCTCAACCATGGATGCCATCCAGTTACTCCCTCGAGCTTATTGACGAAGCAGAAAGCTGGAGCTGGCATGGACACGAATGGTCCGCTGTCATGGCTGGATGGCCGCGTAGAGGCACTACGTGAGGCACATGATGCCATCGTGGCGGCGCAGGCCCGGCAATCATTGTATGCGGATCGAGGACGGGTGGAGGACGCCCTGAAGGAGGGGGATGAGGTGTTGGTCTTCAGGGACTTCCTGCTGACGCCCGAGGAACGAGACAGGCCTTCACACAAATTAAGGCTCAAGTGGTATGGGCCGTTCAAGGTGCAGAAGAAAGTGGCCCCGAATGCGTACAGATTAGCTCTTCCAAGAATCATTCGGGCCCATCCAGTGTTCAATATTGCTGCCCTCAAGCTGTACCATGGCAATGAGATACCGGGCCGTACTCAGCCGGCACCTCCACCCCTAACCGATGCGGATGGCCAAACGCGGTACATTGTCGAAAAGGTGTTGTCGCACAAGAAGAGAGGACGGCGCACGCAGTACCTAGTGAAATGGAAGGGCTACCGAGATGCCACCTGGGAGCCGGAGGAATACTTGATGGATGAAGCAGGAAACGCTATTATTCCGCTGAAAACCTACCTGGACGGTTTTTCATAAAATTGCTATTTAATTGGCAGCCACAGTTGTATTGCTAGTTTCTACGTGTTGCAATAGAAATGTAGCATTCTGCATGATTAGGATAGTGCTTCCCTGCCAGCCAGGCGTTATTTGCAGAGGACATGCACTGGATCTTGAGTTCATCAGTGTTGTTTTCGGCTACCATACATTCCACATATCCATGCATGATCATTAGTTACCATAACTGTTCCTTCGAATTGGTACTGTTCTGACAGTTGAGAGGGGGGAATGGTGTAACAGATTCACTGTTACTACTAACACTAGGAATAGGATACACTTATCACCTGCTATTATCACGCTGCTGCTGTTAGGTGTTATGTCCATCATTGCTTGTTCATGTATATAAGAATGCATTATGGCAAGGATCATTGCTTATTCCAAGAACGACTACGGAAGTTAGTTGGACTGTTACAATCTCACAGTTTGGGGCTTTTTACCCGTGAATCTTCACTTTGCGACTAAACTATTCACAGCAGTGCCACATTTTCTGGGTCACTGAATGTGGGTGCCATCGCCCTACAAACAAACCAAAAATAAAATCAACGCGACCACTTACATTACAGCTGGGTCATTTTATAGAGAGGTACATTGAAATTCAAAGGTCAGCACAAATGGTCAAAATGCGACATTTTCTCACCTTCCTGCCCGTTCACAGCTCAGAAAATGACAATGACCAGCGTCATCTCCTTGGGTAGCTGGACATAGACAAGTGCACCAAGAAAAAGAGCCACATTTCTCTAAAGAACTTGCCCAGGGCTACTGAAAGCTGAAAAATAACCAATCTCACAGTTTGGGGCTTTTTACCCGTGAATCTTCACTTTGCGACTAAACTATTCACAGCAGTGCCAGATTCTCTGGGTCACTTAATGTGGGTGCCAGCGCCCCACAAGCAAACCAAAAATCAAATCAATGCGACCACTGACATTACAGTTGGGTCAAGTTATAGAGAGGTACATTGAAATTCAAAGGTCAGCACAAATGGTCAAAATCCGACATTTTCTCACCTTCCTGCCCGTTCACAGCTCAGAAAATGACAATGACCAGCCTCATCTCGTTATACAGCTGGACATAGACAAGTGCACCAAGAAAAAGAGCCATATTTCTCCAAAGAACTTGCCCAGGGCTACTGAAAGCTGAAAAATAACCAATCTCACAGTTTGGGGCTTTTTACCCGTGAATCTTCACTTTGCGACTAAACTATTCACAGCAGTGCCACATTTTTTGGGTCACTGAATGTGGGTGCCAGCGCCCTACAAGCAAACCAAAAATCAAATCAATGCGACCACTGACATTACAGCTGGGGCATGTTATAGAGAGGTACATTGAAATTCAAAGGTCAGCGCAAATGGTCAAAATCCGACATTTTCTCACCTTCCTGCCCGTTCACAGCTCAGAAAATGACAATGAGCAGCCTCATCTCGTTGTGCAGCTGGACATAGACAAGTGCACCAAGAAAAAGAGCCACATTTCTCAAAAGAACTTGCACATTGCTGCTGAAAACTGAAAAATAACCAATCTCACAGTTTGGGGCTTTTTACCCGTGAATCTTCACTTTGCGACTAAACTATTCACAGCAGTGCAACATTTTCTGGGTCACTGAATGTGGATGCCAGCGCTCTACAAGTACACCAAAAATCAAATCAACGCGACCACTTACATTACAGCTGGGTCATGTTATAGAGAGGTACATTGAAATTCAAAGGTCAGCACAAATGGTCAAAATCCGACATTTTCTCACCTTCCTGCCCGTTCACAGCTCAGAAAATGACAATGACCAGCCTCATCTCACTATGCAGCTGGACATAGACAAGTGCACCAAGAAAAAGAGCCACATTTCTCTAAAGAACTTGCACAGAGCTGCTGAAAGCTGAAAAATAACCAATCTCACAGTTTGGGGCTTTTTACCCGTGAATCTTCACTTTGCGACTAAACTATTCACAGCAGTGCCACATTTTCTGGGTCACTGAATGTAGGTGCCAGCGCCCTACAAGCAAACCAAAAATCAAATCAATGCGACCACTGACATTACAGCTGGCCATGTTATAGAGAGCTACATTGAAATTCAAAGGTCAGCACAAATGGTCAAAATCCGACATTTTCTCACCTTCCTGCCCGTTCACAGCTCAGAAAATGACAATGACCAGCCTCATCTCGTTGTGCAGCTGGACATAGACAAGTGCACCAAGAAAAAGAGCTACATTTCTCCAAAGAACTTGCCCAGGGCTGCTGAAAGCTGAAAAATAACCAATCTCACAGTTTGGGGCTTTTTACCCGTGAATCTTCACTTTGCGACTAAACTACTCACAGCAGTGCCACATTTTCTGGGTCACTGAATGAAGGTGCCAGCGCCCTACAAGCAAACCAAAAATGAAATCAATGCGACCACTGACATTACAGCTGGGTCATGTTATAGAGAGGTACATTGAAATTCAAAGGTCAGCACAAATGGTCAAAATCCGACATTTTCTCACCTTCCTGCCCGTTAACAGCTCAGAAAATGACAATGACCAGCCTCATCTCGTTGTGCAGCTGGACATAGACAAGTGCACCAAGAAAAAGAGCCACGTTTCTCTAAAGAACTTGTCCAGGGCTGCTGAAAGCTGAAAAATAACCAATCTCACAGTTTGGGGCTTTTTACCCGTGAATCTTCACTTTGCGACTAAACTATTCACAGCAGTGCCACATTTTCTGGGTCACTGAATGAAGGTGCCAGCGCCCTACAAGCAAACCAAAAATCAAATCAATGCGACCACTGACATTACAGCTGGGTCATGTTATAGAGAGGTACATTGAAATTGAAAGGTCAGCACAAATGGTCAAAATCCGACATTTTCTCACCTTCCTGCCCGTTCACAGCTCAGAAAATGACAATGACCAGCCTCATCTCGTTATGCAGCTGGACATAGACAAGTGCACCAAGAAAAAGAGCCACATTTCTCCAAAGAACTTGCCCAGGGCTACTGAAAGCTGAAAAATAAACAATCTCACAGTTTGGGGCTTTTTACCCGTGAATCTTCACTTTGCGACTAAACTATTCACAGCAGTGCCAAATTTTTGGGGTCACTGAATGTGGGTGCCGGCGCCCTACAAGCAAACCAAAAATCAAATCAATGCGACCACTGACATTACAGCTGGGTCATGTTATAGAGAGGTGCATTGAAATTCAAAGGTCAGCACAAATGGTCAAAATCCGACATTTTCTCACCTTCCTGCCCGTTAACCCTTTACCGGCAGCCCCATACTTGAATGCGTCGTAAACGACGCATTCGACATGCATACTAAAACCATGCCTGGTATGACAGGAAGCATCAGCCCACGGGGATTTCCCGTGGCCCTCACACAGCCTAGGTATGATCCTATCCGTAGCTGAAGAGATCTACGCGTGTCCCATTTGATTTCATTGAGAACTGCGCGATCGAAAATTTACGGAAATACACGCGCGCCGACAATGCCGTCTGCCTCCGTCAAAACGTCGTCAGGTGCATTTCCTCTTGCGCAGTGAGTTCCTTTCGTCCTCAGATGACTTCTCCGACGAGGACCTAGCAGACCTTTGCTCTGGGACCCACGACAGATAGATAAATACTTCGTTCCAGCCGCCGATGCAAGCGAATTTCAAATTGCGGAGCGGAGCGCACGCCAAGTAAATTCTCACGCAAATATCGGGAGCTCCAGCCGCTGAAGACGATGTCGTCGTAATGTACCTGGAAGAATCTGATGGTGCTTATGGTGTGGAAGCCATGGAGAGTGATCCCCGTGTCGACAGTCTTCCAGAGACGGAATTTTAGGCCATCGACTTTCTACGTACCTGAGTGACGGCAGCGCTGCGCGACTTGCGCACGACCTTACGGAGCCATCGGACAGCGATTTTGGGGCGATGCTGCTCTCAATTGCGAGCGAGGCACGGCCACTGACGTCTGTGATGGCTATAGCGTTCGTTTCCACTCTGAAGTCGACTTGTTTTGGCAGTTTTATGTCAATGTCGGAATCTGACGATTTGCATTGTGTACAATTTCCGTGTTTAGACGTATAGGTGCCAATTTAGTAGCGTATGTGTGTGGTATGTGAAAATAATTTTTTCCATCGTCAAGAAGAAGTACCAGACTTCCAAGAAAACATAACTTGCACATACAAAATGTGCCCTCGTTGTGAGTTATTGGCATCCTTCTCAATGTTATGGATTTCATATACAAAATGCACTTGCCGGTAAAGGGTTAACAGCTCAGAAAATGACAATGACCAGCCTCATCTCGTTGTGCAGCTGGACATAGACAAGTGCACCAAGAAAAAGAGCCACATTTCTCCAAAGAACTTGCCCAGGGCTGCTGAAAGCTGAAAAATAACCAATCTCACAGTTTGGGGCTTTTTACCCGTGAATCTTCACTTTGCGACTAAACTATTAACAGCAGTGCCACATTTTCTGGGTGACTGAATGTGGGTTCCAGCGCCCTACAAGCAAACCAAAAATCAAATCAATGCGACCACTGACATTACAGCTGGGTCATGTTATAGAGAGGTGCATTGAAATTCAAAGGTCAGCAAATATGTTCAAAATCCGGCATTTTCTCACCTTCCTGCCCGTTCACAGCTCAGAAAATGACAATGACCAGCCTCATCTCGTTATGCAGCTGGACATAGACAAGTGCACCAAGAAAAAGAGCCACATTTCTACAAAGAACTTGCACAGGGCTGCTGAAAGCTGAAAAATAACCAATCTCACAGTTTGGGGCTTTTTACCCGTGAATCTTCACTTTGCGACTAAACTATTCACAGCAGTGCCACATTTTCTGGGTCACTGAATGTAGGTGCCAGCGCCCTACAAGCAAACCAAAAATCAAATCAATGCGACCACTGACATTAAAGCTGGCCATGTTATAGAGAGCTACATTGAAATTCAAAGGTCAGCACAAATGGTCAAAATCCGACATTTTCTCACCTTCCTGCCCGTTCACAGCTCAGAAAATGACAATGACCAGCCTCATCTCGTTGTGCAGCTGGACATAGACAAGTGCACCAAGAAAAAGAGCTACATTTCTCCAAAGAACTTGCACAGGGCTGCTGAAAGCTGAAAAATAACCAATCTCACAGTTTGGGGCTTTTTACCCGTGAATCTTAACTTTGCGACTAAACTATTCACAGCAGTGCCACATTTTCTGGGTCACTGATAGAAGGTGCCAGCGCCCTACAAGCAAACCAAAAATCAAATCAATGCGACCACTGACATTACAGCTGGGTCATGTTATAGAGAGGTACGTTGAAATTCAAAGGTCAGCACAAATGGTCAAAATCCGACATTTTCTCACCTTCCTGCCCGTTCACAGCTTAGAAAATGAAATTGACCAGCCTCATCTCGTTGTGCAGCTGGACATAGACAAGTGCACCAAGAAAAAGAGCCACATTTCTCCAAAGAACTTGCACAGGGCTGCTGAAAGCTGAAAAATAACCAATCTCACAGTTTGGGGCTTTTTACCCGTGAATCTTCACTTTGCGACTAAACTATTCACAGCAGTGCCACATTTTCTGGGTCACTGAATGTGGATGCCAGCGCTCTACAAGCAAACCAAAAATCAAATCAACGCGACCACTTACTTTACAGCTGGGTCATGTTATAGAGAGGTACATTGAAATTGAAAGGTCAGCACAAATGGTCAAAATCCGACATTTTCTCACCTTCCTGCCCGTTCACAGCTCAGAAAATGACAATGACCAGCCTCATCTCGTTATGCAGCTGGACATAGACAAGTGCACCAAGAAAAAGAGCCACATTTCTCCAAAGAACTTGCCCAGGGCTGCTGAAAGCTGAAAAATAACCAAACTCACAGTTTAGGACTTTTTACCCGTGAATCTTCACTTTGCGACTAAACTATTCACAGCAGTGCCAAATTTTTTGGGTCACTGAATGTGGGTGCCAGCGCCCTACAAGCAAACCAAAAATCAAATCAATGCGACACCTGACATTACAGCTGGGGCATGTTATAGAGAGGTACATTGAAATTCAAAGGTCAGCGCAAATGGTCAAAATCCGACATTTTCTCACCTTCCTGCCCGTTCACAGCTCAGAAAATGACAATGACCAGCCTTATCTCGTTATGCAGCTGGACATAGACAAGTGCACCAAGAAAAAGAGCCACATTTCTCCAAAGAACTTGCCCAGGGCTGCTGAAAGCTGAAAAATAACCAATCTCACAGTTTGGGGCTTTTTACCCGTGAATCTTAACTTTGCGACTAAACTATTCACAGCAGTGCCACATTTTCAGGGTCACTGAATGAAGGTGCCAGCGACCTACAAGCAAACCAAAAATCAAATCAATGCGACCACTGACATTACAGCTGGGTCATGTTATAGAGAGGTACATTGAAATTGAAAGGTCAGCACAAATGGTCAAAATCCGACATTTTCTCACCTTCCTGCCCGTTCACAG